ATTTATATGTCTATTTATGTCCATCAGTATTTGCTTAGTTACATTTAAGTAATTCAGTGTTGTTTCACGTTAGTTAATTTCAGTGTTAGTTTTTATATGTTTATGCAGGGTTAACGTAATCCAATGCTTTATTTTTATTCTTTTGATGTTTCGATGTTTAGTATCATTTGTGTCTTAAAAGTTTCGATGGTGAATCAATTTGTTGTGACAGCCTACGAGGCTCTTTATTGTGTTAATATTTAATTAATTAAATTCTTAAAGGTTTACTTTATTTATTTTTATTCCCTTTTAATTTATTTCACTTTTTTTTGTTTGGTTACACCTATAACCTGAATATTTAAGTAAATTAAAAGACGGCGTTAACAGACTCAAAAATACGTAATTTGAAAAATATTTTATATGACCACGGCAGTAGTATGTCCGGGTTGTCGTAAGACGAGGAGTACCTTTATAACCATCTGTGTTTGAACTTCAGAATTTCAGGACATGGTAGCTGTCCACAGTAAAAGTTCTAGTGGAAGTAATAAGAGTATGAAAGTGTGATTTTCCCTCAGTTCAAAGAGATCCACGTTGAAACCATTCCTACGGATATTTTCCACTTGTGCAATCTTGTTTATGTCCACTTTAAACCCATTACAAAGTAACTACTTTAATATTTAGGGTTCTATGGCTGGTTATGATGAACCAAGGAAGTGTCATATGTAATAATTTAACCCAAAACTTTCTCACTATCTCTGGATATCTGCAAAAGAAGGATCTAGATCAGGAATTCACAAGACTCATCACAAGGGGTCACAGCCCTTTTCAATAGGTCATGTGTCAAGGGAAAACAAACTTTGTGACATTTAGTGTTTGATTAGGGGATTAATACTGTAGTCATTTTTCTAAGTTACAAAATGAGGGTGAAGTATGTGAGGTCTGGTTAGGTCAGTGGATTTACATCAGGTACCTTTAGTTATGGAGACATTCCACAAGAAAAAACTCAAAATTTGATGAAAAATCAAATTTTTTTATAAAATATAAAATTTTCTGGGGAAAATTCTCATTTGCCCCAACAGACAATTTATCTCATTTCCCTAATTACTGTACAGTACTTAGAATTCACAGCCATGACAGACTTGGATGACACAGGAATTTAAGGTGAAGCAAGATTTATTGAAATACTGTATTTACATAAACCTTTCAGCAAACTTTCATGCGAGTTTCCCTGAGCTGCTCACCAAGTCTTTTGATTTTGTGAAGTTCCCGGTCAAGACTGATGTAATAAAGATTGGCCGATTTATTCCTCAAATGGCAGATTTTCAGGCCAACAATGAAATTTGACATCTAAGATGACCTTGCCAAATTTCGAATTAGCTTACTGAAGAGACACGTACAGGTTAAGAATTGCACTGGTAGTGCTCGTACAATTTGGAACCAATTACGTCTGTATATGCATTAGGTTGTCCTATCTCAGTTACTTGTAATAATATTAAATATTACAGATTATTTTTTTTTTTTTTTTACAAATCAATATACAGTACAAAAAAAGATTATCTTTAGACTCCTCGTTGAAATAACCAGATTTCAAAATGAATAGTGTTACTTATACAGTGGGGTATGCTATAACGAACGGATCCTACTACGAATATTCCTATAACGAACGGTTTTACCTATAAAATTGAGAATGCTATAACGAACGAAACTCCTACAACGAACATTATTTAATTTTTTTTTCTTTTACTAATTTATTGTTTTTTTATTACAAGTATTAATGATATTCTTTATTTCAGGGGTTTAGATGCATATTTATGCACTTTTTTACAATTTTTACAATTTTATATTATATTTTTCAGTGTTAGGTGGTTGTATTTGGGGGCCTGGAACGGATTAATCCTATAACGAACGAATGCTATAACGAACAAGGTTCTAGAACCAATTAGATTCGTTATAACATACCCCACTGTATACAGTACTGGTAGGTACCTTATCTTTAATATCAGTGGAAAAAATATTGTATATTTACATAAAATGAATTTAGCATATACTACTGTACTATCTTTAATGTAATATTATTCATGGCCAGTTTCTCCATGCTCTGATAGGTTTAGCAATATAATATAGACTAAACTAAGTGGATTCATCTTACTGCATTTGAGAATAATATAACATAATAGATGAGAACTCACAACTTTGAGCTAGTCTTGAGGTCACACTGGACAGCTGACAAAAACTGGAATGGGTCACACTCATCAAAGCTTGGGGACTCATGATCTAGATTATGTTGGTTTGTTTATAAATATTACTGATGCTATATTGCCACCAGAAAAAAAAAATACTTACCAACCCTCTTTTAAAAGTCAGTCCAAATTTCTTGAAAATTTTTATTGGAATAGATACCCTTTTTATGTTGAAGAAAAATAAATTGCTTTGATAGTCCCTCTTTGGTTTGAAAAATTCTTGTGTTTATCAAATGCTTCGAAGGCCACTTCTGAGCCATGTGGGCAAGATGTGGCTCAACAGTTTAATCAGGAAATAAAATCCAGGGAAGCTTGAAACTGAAAAGTTGTAATGGTTGCATACTGTGCATTTAAGTTGCCTCAGGGCATCCACTACATTCACTATACTTCAAAATGAGTGGTGAGAAACTCTGTTAGTTATAATATGTTCAGACCATAGTCTTTGGCCCAGATTTCTTATATCTGCACATTGCTTGGTCCCAAGGTATGTATGTACGTATATACAGTTCTGTATATATTAAGCTGCGATATTTATTATTTGTTCAGAATTAATATTTCAACTCCAATGTCTTTCAAATTCAATGTCTTTTATTACCAACAAATTTCAGGTACACAAGTATTATAATTAGTAATTATGAAAAATAAATAAAATAAATTATGATGAAAAGGTGGTGTGCGAGGGAGGGGGGGCACTAATTGAGAGAATGGAACGTGGCAGACTGGTAAAGAGAGTACAGTACTGTATAATTCAGAGGCAGATGACAGGAGGAAGATGATAACCATGGACGAAACAGAGGCATTGTGAGAATGAGGCACTGTAGGAAATGAAGATGGACACCATAACATATCAATAAATGTATATGAAAGGAGAGCACAGTGTCAGTTGGTTTATGGAGGATATTGCAGTAAGAAGGGCTGATGATGGCAGAGAGCCAGGGGTTTTGTTACAGGAATAGAGTACCATGGCAAAACACATTTTACACAGCAACAAAAATGAATGACAACACATGAATGGAAAAATGTGTGCATTTTCTCGTTTCCACCAGCCAACCTGCATGAGGTGGATAAAATAGCACTGCTGAGAGAAATGTACTCTCCCATTAGTGATTCTTCCTTTGAGGTACATTTATACTGATGCACAAAATGCTAGTATGACACGACATTCAATGCAATGCTACCCTTATATAATACCATCCTTCATTTTTCCTTTCATCAATCTCTCCTTCCTTTCCAGCATTGTCTTTTTCTCACCTTTTATTAACTTGAAGTTATTAACTGCTGAGGTAAGCCTTATTATTTGTGTATACAGTAAGATCTTGTATTTCACGAGTAACATACAGTAGACTGGAAAAATTGAGCCAACTTCAAATTCACCAAATGCAAATACATAAACTAATGGGAAAAATAACAAATATACACTGGCAACTCTTCATCAACCTCTGATTTTCCCATTTGTAACCTCCAAATGATACAAATTCTCCCTTTATTGACTTGTGCTTTCGGGAAACTAGTTTTTAGGTCCTCCTCAAGTAATTTAATCACACGCTGCTTGTCCTGCATCAAATACTTGGCAAACTTAACTCCCTTATGATAGTTCCGTTTCTCCTTTTCCTTATTTGGCCGCTTAGGTGGGTCAGTCCCATCAGCACCAGCAGGACCCCCAGTAGAGGTAGAGGCCATTATCTTGACTCGACAGGTGGTAGCACCACCCAAAAAAGTACACAATAACAGCCCGAGCGGTCACTAGGATGGCGCGGGCTACGTGATAGTTGCATTCTTGCAAACCTCTTTTACGTTCACCACCGGCAATTCGATCACCAGAACACTTCTTGGAAAAATTCTTCTTACCTTGTCTTTCCATATTCATCGCTAACACAACAAAATTGGAGAAAATAGCAAAAATCACGGAGTAATTGACAGAAACAGAGCGATTCAAATGATCACGTGATGTAAACAGAGCGCGCTGGTGTAAACCATTATTAGTCCTCACTGCGAAACATTCTTTTTACTTATTCTTTTCATACAGTATTTATGGGTAACAGCAAAATTTGTCCCCCCCCCCAAAAGAAAACGAAATTTACAGTACCTCTAAAAAAAAAAAAAAACTTCACGAACAAAAGACACGAATCAATTGAACATGTGATATCAAACGTGAACTGTAAACATTGCATAACCCCACGCCAGGCTTAAAATGTTGGGGATGGAATCGAGCTATGGCCAACATTCGTATGCAAAAGTTCGCATTTTACAAACAGCATTCCCCTATTCATCAATCGTGTTGCAATTAATTCGCGTTGACAAAACACGCGTTGTAGCAGAAATGACTGTAACTGGTATGAGGGCTGTGACGTCATTCAAGACGGTGGCGAGCATTCAGCTGGCTGGATCTCGCGAAATTCACGATATTTTATGCCAAATATAAGACTTGGTTACATTAGGTTTTGCTCGCGAAATTAAAAAATGCGAAATATGAGATCTTACTGTACTCTATTGAGAGCAAATAGCAACTTCTTCATCAATTTGATAGGCAAACATTCAAACATAATCCTTAGTCTTTAGCATATGCCATGAGTATTGCTGCAGTCTGCTACACATGACACCAAAGAGTTGCCTGATAGCACATAAAGGTGGTTCTGTGCATGCCATCCAACCCCTCTGAATATGACACCAGGCAATATGAACAACATAATCAGTTAAGCATTTATGCTTATTGAGTTAAAATCTTATAAATAAAGCTCATTTTAATACTACTATAGTACCATTATAATTAAACGGCTCCAGTTCATAATAGGTCAAGACTTTTATTTGGAATACCCAGTAAAATTGTAGTGTTATTAATGTATTACAAGCAATATAAAGGAGAAGAATTTGGTTTATGGCTTAGTTCTTCAGTAGTTAATGTACTTGCAATAATAATACAAATTTATGCAAAGTCCAATTAATGTGGAACACTGAGGGTCTACTACAAAGTTATGTATCACCTTTTTGAACAATGAACTCATAAAAATTCCTTTCAAATTCAGAATCTAACTAAAAAATAATAATAATTTACAACATATTTTAGTATTTACACCTTTTGTCATCCATATTAGACCGAATGATATTTTTGCAAATCTCCAATGAAAAAAATCTTATTTATGCTAAAAAAAAAAAAAAAAATATCTCAGATTGTCTAAATCATACCTTCACTAAATGAAAACATATAGCAAATTATATAATTTGAATGAGTTTTGATATTCACATTTATTCAAATTACCATCACTCGTTCACATCCACACAAACACCTGCTGTACACTCACAAACTTGTCAGTTTCTGGATGCCATATGTTAAGTTAAATCTGGAGACATTTTGAACCATCTTCTAAGTTGCTTGAAGTCTCAGTTTAAGTATCACTCTTCCACAGTTTGATGGTTTTATCATTTTCCAGTGCTCCGGATGCAATAATGTTTTGTGTTGGATGACAGGCTGTACACAAAACTACATCTGCAATAAACAACAGAAGTTATATAGTAAAAAACTGCATAAAATAACCAAAATTTATGGGAGGTCAAGATAGTTAATAATTTGATGCTAATATCATGAGCAGATTATGCCCTTTCAGTGAAATACTGAAAGGGATGTAACTTGGAAATATCTTTATGTGGCTTGGTTGGGAGTTCTGATAATGGATAATGATTTGTTAGCTCTTAGCCAATCAATGTGCTTGTGTCATATACAGTATACATTACAGTATTTAAGTGAGTAATGGGTCCTGCCCCTGAAACATAGACTGGTGTAGTCTCTTTTGATTAAGGATCAAGCCTTTAAGTATTTTAGCATCATATGTTTGGGAATGAGGTTTTGAAAAGCATGAGAAATATAAAGTAGAGATATTTTGCTTCAAGGCACTAAAATGTAAAAAGGATGTTCCATCCTACATGAACTGATATAATGATACAAATCAGTCTATCACTACAACCTGGAGTAAATTGAAATACAGTACAGTAAAATCTCGATGATAAGAGTAGATACGTCCTTGGAGTCTGCTCGTACAGCGAAAAGTGGTATAATGGAGAGAATAGTACATGGGTTAAATAGGGATGAGTTCCCGAGCACCAAGCATAGTGATGACAGTATATAAATGTGATTCAGTACGAGCGGACAAACTGAGATAGCAGATTCAAACACTGGAGAAGGGAGAGGGTGGCGGGGGGAGGACGGTAGAGAGATAGGGGAGGGGTGCGCAGCCTGGCTGAGTCGCTCACAAACTTGTCCCTGCGCATCTGGCTGGGGGGAGGATGGAAGGGAGGTAAGTGAGGGGTGCGAGGCCTGGCTGAGTGGCTCACAAACACGTCTCTGCGCATCTACGTCACAGACCACGTCACTGCTTCTTCCGCCCACTTGGCTGGGTAAACTGAGCAGCACTGTAGCCAAGTTAGACTCGTCGCAGCAACCATCAGGCAGGCTACTGGGCCAAACTGTGAGGTGCTTTGGTTGTTTTTCAACTTGTAATTTTGGGTAGTTACAGTATACATACAGTATTCCCTCGCTTAACAAACACAATTCGTTCCAGAAGGTCGTTCGTTAACCGAAACCATTGTTGCAATGGAATTTTGGGTAATTGGTTCCAGCTCACCGAAAATTACATAAAAACTAAAAATAAATGCATTAAAGTACACTTACTTTGAGGTGTGTATGTAGAAGGCTCCTGGTTGATGATGATGATGGGAATTAGAATTGGGTGGAGGAGAAGGGAGAAGAGAATGCATTGGGGTGGAAGAGAAGTCACCACATGCTTCATGTCGCCATTTCACCATAAAATTTTAGTTCACTTGGTGTAATTCAAGATTATTTTCTTTAAATCAACACTGCACTGCACTATGTATTGTCAATATGTAAAATAAACTTCAGAATGAACAATAATTGTACTGTAAAACATAAAAATAATTTATGTTCAAGAGAGTCTCAAGCAAGATGCTTCCTCCTCTGAGCAGGGACACACACTGATGCCATTTTGGGTGAGTCAAGTGGCTGTTTGGTGCGCTAAAAACTTTAATATAAGACTTGGAAAATTATTGAATGGTACAACCTTCTTGATATTTACTCAAATGGTAACGAATTTAAGCCCTAAAACCGATTACTATATTGGCGGACTAATACTACAGCTAGTGAATAGCCAAATGCAAGCGAAAACATGTTGGGAAAAATTTGTAAGGAATTCGTTAACCGAAATTTTTTCGTTAACCGAGGCGTTCATTAACCGAGGGATCACTGTAGTAACTTTTTTCATTTATTTTCACTCATTTACATGCACACACCATCCTTAATACATAGTGTAAAAAGTAAAAGAAATTATTGTCCTGAGGGCAAACCTGTACTCAAATGTACTAAGTTAATTACTAAATCTTTTTGTCTAGTGCAAAGTATGGGATGTTTGTACTCAAATTAATCAATATCTTACAAGAATTCCAGCAATGTAAGTTTTATTCTGCTAAGTCAATTCAGTGACATTTTATAAGCAAAAAACTTAAACTCCCTCTATGTGACTGATAACTACGCACTTGGTAACTTCCCCACCTGCTGTCAACACCTCACCTCCCCTCCCCCCAGTCAGGGTGAAGGTAGTTTTAGGCTTCAAGTTTTTATCTTATAAAATGTCACAGACTAAACTTGGCAGAATATAACTTGCACTGATGGAATCCTTGCAAGATATCAAATAATTTGAATATAAACATCACATAGTTTGCACAAGAGATAAGAGTTTTAGTCCTTTAGTCTAGTACAAAGTGAGTACAGTACAGTAATATGTTGCTAAAAATTATGGCCTTTTTCACAGGAAAAACTCTTGTATAACTAACCCCAGTTGGTCATTGCACTCGCTTTTCGTATCATCGAACAATATCGCTCGTATAGTGCACATAGGGTGCAAATTCCTCAACCTCGTATCATCGAATTCTCATATAAAGAATGCTCGTGTAATGAGATCCCCCTGTATCACATAATTCTAACCTCATTGCAATTATAACCTTTTGAATTATAGCAAATGATGACTTAGGTCATATTCTGAGAAGTGGTGCTGTCTATGATGTGAGGATGACATATCAATCAATCAATCAGAGTACCGTCCTCATATCTGAGGGTTGCCGACCACAGTTGTCCACGCTAAACGTTCTCAGGCCATTTTTAACAATCATCCTAGTCTCTGCCTTCCCCTGGCCCTCCTCATCTTCAACTTTGCCCATTAATATTTCTATTATCATCCCCTCATTCCTAATTATATGACTAAAGTATCACTTTTTTTCTGTACATTTCAAGAATTTCTCTTGAAGTTTTTGCTAATCTTAGTACATATATTTCTTTATTTGTTTTCCTGTCAGTGTAACTTATTCTTAGCAGTTATCCTTAACACCACATTTCAAAGGCCTCATCATTTTTGTATAATGCCCTCGTTTTGATCGAGCCAAAGAAGACGGTACCTGTTAGCCGCACAAAAGTTTCATTGGGTTTCTTTCCATAAAAACAGGGAAAAAAATAAATAAATACAAATAAAAAATCCCCACCTGAATGCCCTTCCAATTTTTGAACAACTTCTTTGGTTTGAAGATTCCAGATGTAGATAAGGTTGTCTTCAGAGCCAGATACAATCCACTGAAAAATAGGACATTATTAAATTACTGTACTGTGTATATGTTTGCATGGAATAAATTGTAAAACATTCTCAAATGTATTTACTAACATCATGTTGTGTGTATTATTCCAGATGATACTAAATGTTATATAAAAATTCCTCAAGATAAATGTACAGCATACAGTATATTATCAGGAGCCACTAAGAGAGCTCAGGCTCTCAATATCGTTATCATTAACTGCAGTATTACCCAGCTTTACACGGTTTCACTTTCCGCATTTCTCATTTACGTGGTACCTTGCCATGTACCGGACTTTCACTTTCCGGGGTGCATCTACTCATCTACACGTGAAGTAAAAATTTTTTTTTATTTTTTATTTAGCTCATAAAATTCATACAAATTACCCGGCCAGAATATAATTTACATTGCTGGAATTCTTACAATATGATGATCGTTTTGAATATAAACATCATGGATTTTGCATTAGACATATAAATTTTAGATCTAATGTAATAATTTGGTTTACACAAAGCAAGTATTTTATCTTTTGTGCAAATATATGAAGTTTACATTCAAAATATTCCCTGACCTGCAAGGAATCAAGAAATGTCAATTATATTATCCCAACTTTAGTCTGAGGTATTATTTATTACTAAACGTTAAAATCTAGTGTTTCACCCAATCATTTCTCAGAGAGGTAGGGGCCAGTGAGCTGGGAAGAGGGGGGGGGGGATTTGAGTCCATTATTTGAATGGACATTAACCTGGCGACTGTATTTCTCTTGAATATTAATTGTGTGAGCATACCATCATAAAATTTAGATGTTATTTTTACTACAACATAGGTATTGTGTTGGAAAAAGGAAAAAGTGGAGTTTGGGGGTCGGGCCAGTCTCTATTGGAATTAATCCAATATGTTCTGTTGTTCACTTTACGCGGTTTTCACTTTCCGCGGTACCCTGTGGGTTCAATTGACCGCGTAAATCGGGGTACTACTGTACTCTATACTGCATCTGTATTTTTGTGGCTAAATACACTGTTTCAATATCAATACCATTGCAAAAATAATATAGACTATAGATATATGATTACTCAATATGACAGATGACATTGATTTGTACAGGGTCTCACACTTTACATTACAGTACAGGTGCTCCTCTACTTACAAACGAGTTATGTTTCTGAGGCTTGTTTGTAAGTCCAACTTTACTCTTGTAGATATCAAACATATCGTAAAAAATTAAAAGATTATGGATATTTAGTACAGCTATACCCTTTAATACAGCCTTAAAACCTGGCTCACTCTTCTCTTAGGTAATGTTTGTTCTATCTGGAATTTTCTTCAAAATAATCCAGTCTCATCCACATTAAACACCTGTTCTGGCAGGTAACCCCCATCAGTGATGATGTTTGTATCTCTGAAAGTTTAAGTTGAACGTTCTTAAGTAGAGGAGCACCTGGGTACTCCTCGACTTACGACCACCCGGACATACGACCGCCGCAGTCGTACAAAAAAAAAAAATTAAATTACGTATTTTCGAATCCCAATGAGTCCTAATGTTAGTGATCGCGTTGTGTGCTGACAAAATTTTCATTTGTAATTCCCTTTAAAATGGCTGGCAGGCATAAAAGTGAGAGTTCTCGTGCTGAAAAGAAAGAGACACCCCCAGAAATTTATGTAAATTTACCCCAAAATACAGTTGAAAATATTATACATTATTAAAATGTACTCTGTACTAAAAATTTTATCACTTGAGCAAAATATATGACTTTTATATTCAAATTAATCACTATCTTATAAGAATTCCAGCAATGTAAATTATATTTTCCCTGGTTACTTCTATGACATTTTATAAACAAAAAACAAAAACTCAAGCTAAAGGACATAAATAAACTAATAAATGCTTCACTAGACCTTCGGCGCCAACTGTCAAATATGTCACTGTCACCTCCCCTTCCTCCCTCCCTCCCCCTTCCAGGGTTTGGTGGTTTTAGGCTTACAGTTTTTATCTTGTATAATATCACAGACTAAAGTTAGGAGAATATAATTTGCATTGAATATAAATGTCATATATTTTGCACAAGAGATAAAAACTTTAGTACATTAGTATACAGCTGCTCCTCGACTTAAGACGGGGTTAGGGACCGAAATCCAGGTCGTAAGTCGAATTGGTCGTAAGTCGAAAATGCTTAAATAATACATAGAAAATCTAAAATGGGTGTCTCTTTTTATTCTCAGCACCACAAAACTCTCAGTTTTAAGTGCCAGCCATTTTAAAGTGAATTACAAACAAAAATTTTGTCAGTACACAGCGCAATCACTAACGATGGGACTCGAAAATAAGTAAATTGAAAATTTTTTGGTAAGAATGAGGCAGTCGTATGTCAGGTTGGTCGTAGGTCGCATATGTCGTAAGTCGAGGAGTAGCTGTAGTGATTTCAGGGTGATTTCGGGGATTTTTAGGAGTGTTTCTGACTTTATGCATTTTTTGGCTTTACTTCGTTTGTACCTTTTCTGCGAGTTGGAACCAATTGTGTTTGTTAATCGAGGGACCACTGTATTATATATACAGGTTGTACCTCTCTAGTCCGGCATTCTGTGGTCCGGAAACTCCTGTGGTCCGGAACGATTTTAGTTTGTCCAATAGGTAGATAGGCAGCTTTTTTTTTTTTTTTACTTATCTGAATTATTATTATTATTATTATTACAGGAGTATTAAATTTTTTCCCCTCAGGCCCCAATGTGGGTCAGCGACCTATGCCCGGGTTGGCTAATTCCCTTAAAAAAACAAACAAACAAACAAAGCCGCGGGAAATTAAGGTTTGTTTATATCCGGCAGTTCGGCTGCTCTCTCTCTCTCTCTGCTTGTCTATACAGAGTACAACATTTAACCCTTCAATATATATGAGCAGTAAATAAGTGTTGCTTTCATATTCTTATATAGAGTAATGATGATATGTTTTCACATGTGCGCACTTACATACGCGCAGTCTCACTTTTTTTTTACCATTAATGGTTAGCCACTTATATTGTTCCATTTATTAACATTAAATAACATTACAGGTACTTCAAACAACCATATTAATTTTTTTACATTAATTTTACTACAGCTAAAATAAGGGTCTTATTTTCTTCAGTTTTATATGTAGAACCAATCAGTCACTGGTTTCGTAAGCTTTAACATAAACAATGCCGGCAGCCGTCTCGTCTCCTCTAATATTCCACGTATTATTAATAAATTGTATTGTTAATTTTGCACACACAAACATTAATTCAATAAAAACAAATTCAGAAACATTAATTAAAATATATATGAACAGTAAATAAGTGTTGCTTTCATATTCTTATGTAAAGCAATGACGATATGTTTTCACGTGTGCGCATGCGCACTTACATACGCGATCTCTCTTTTTTTCTTTACCATTATCGTTAGCTACTTCTATTGTTCCATTTATTAACATTAAATAACATTACTTAAAACAACCATATTAATTTTACTACAGCTACAACCAAGGTCTTATTTTCTTCAGTTTTATATGTAGAACCAGTCAGTCACTGGTTTTGTAATCAACGAAAACAATGCTGTCTCATGTTTTAACAGAATGATTGGATGTTGATGATAATGTGCCTGCAGTTCATCATTACACTGATTCTGAAATTGTAGATATGGTTAAAAGGCCGGAGAGAAATGCCTGTACAGGTAGTGATGAAGATGAAAGCAGTAAAGAAAATGAGGAAGATGTGAGAGAGAGAATCTCTATTGACAGGTTAATTGCATTGACAACTGAACTGCTGGCTGGACTAGAGCAACGAAGTTTTGTAAGTGAACAAGAAATCATGACTGTTTTCTTGCTCCAAGATAAACTTATTAGAGAAAGACCCAAGTATATGAAGCAACAGACATTGCCCGATATATTCAAGAAAATAGCTAGGAAGCAGGAAGAAGCAACAGCGGTGTCCACACTTGATAACCCACTGCCATCAACTTCAAGACAAGTTGAAGCTGTTCCTGTTGCTGAGGATGTTGTCACTGTCAGTGATACAGATGATAATCCTGACAGCCCATCTACCGTTTAGCCTGATAAACATTAAAATTTCATTTGATTTTCATTTAGTGTTTAATTTTCTATTTTTTTAAAGGACTGTACAGGTAGTAATTTTCTGTTAAATATACAGTGGGGTATGCTATAACGAACGGATCCTACTACGAATATTCCTATAACGAACGGTTTTACCTATAAAATTGAGAATGCTATAACGAACGCAACTCCTACAACGAACGCGGATGAATACGGGACTATTTCGCCTGGCGCATGAATATTGTTGTACCATGAATATTGTTGTACCGCGACCCACAACAAGAGCGTCAGGCGCCATCTTTGTCTCATTGTGTAGCCAGTGCACCACTGTTATTGTTGAAATTTCGTCTTTTGATGTGGAAATTCGCGTTATTTGTATAACTATTTTGTTATACTGTACAAGTATACAATTGTAACAATGAGTCGTCCAAAGCGAGTGAGAAAGCTAATAACCCTTGAAACTAAGAAAGAAATTGTAAAGAAACGTGAGAATGGAAGAAGCATTGCGAAACTTAGTGATGAATATGGGATGGCTAAATCGACTATATGTACGATTTTGAAGAATAAAGAGGAGTTAAAAACTGTACAAGTGGCTAAGGGAATCTTTAGACTTAGCAAAGCAAAGTGTAATGTGATTGAAGAGATGGAAAATTTACTCTTAGTGTGGATAAAGGAGAAAGAAATGGCAGGTGGTAACATTAGTGAAGCTATAATTTGTGAGAAGGCTAAACAATTGTTTGAGGACCTTAAAGCCAAGACTCCCAGTGGAAGTGATAGTGATGTGCCAGTGTTTAGGGGTACCTGCATGCTGAATAACACTAAGGTAAGATAAAGTACCGTATTTTTTACATTTTCCACAGAATTTTTTCAGTGTTAAGTGGTTGTATTTGGGGGCCTGGAACGGATTAATCCTATAACGAACGAATGCTATAACGAACGAGGTTCTGGAACCAATTACGTTCGTTATAGCATACCCCACTGTACTGTATACAGCATATATAATAAAATTTCATTTGCTTTTCATTTAGTGTTTAATTTTCTTTGTTTAATGGACTGTACAGGTAGTCATTTTCTGTTAAACTTATACAGCAAGTATAACCATCAGTTTTCCGGCATTTTCGAAAATCCGGCACTCCTCAGGTCCCGAGGTTGCCGGATTTTTGATAGTCCACCTATACCTTTCTATTCCGAATGAATTTGCTATCCAGTATACCGAACCCTCGATTGAATTTATCTTTAAATATCTCAAATATAATACAGTATGTACAGTATACAGTTTGTGTAAAATCCCTCCTTCATGGAGGGAGAGAAGAGTGACAATGAGAAACACCTGCTACAGAAGATGGTACAGGACAAAGGCAGGCCATCCTGTATCATATCACCATTTGGCCTGCCTGCATCACAAGCTCAAGATGATAGCATCTGTTTGAGTACATTACTGTACTGTATAGTGTATACAGAAGTATTTGCATAAATAAATACAGCTCTGAGTCTATCTGACTGCAGTCCGGCCTGGAAACATTCACCAGTGCCCGGAAAAATGCTGAAATGTGACTTTTTTAAGGGATGAGAAAATTTATCTCAATATCCAGAACTGCTCTGCACCAAATGTTCCGGCTAATGAGGGAATTACTGTATTTAATTTTAACAGAAAAAAATGAAGATTCTTTTCTTAATGTTACTCCTGACAATTTAGTGTTTAAAGCGTATATCAGCATAAGCCATAAGGTATTAATTTTCAGATACAGTATTACATTCAGGCCAATTACCAAAATTATTTATAACCCCATAAATGTTGATGCGATGCTAAACTGTACTGTACAGAATTTCTTTTAAGCTTGCAGTAATACATTGTACACATGGATTATGTACCTGGTTGTCAGGCATTGCATACTTCTAAGACATAAGCAGACTCCATCCAGGGGCAGCATAACTGTGATCTAACTGTAATGTAGTTTCTTAATATCTGTACATATACCCAATTTTTAAGATGAAATGGAATTTAATATAGAATCTAATCTTCCTAATTTCAAAGAAATTAATGCATAAAGGAAGCAGTTTGGTTTAAAATTTTAGAAATAAAAATCAAGTACACTTACTGTTCAGCTCATACAAAACATTACATTTGCACTCACCTTTACTTTATTAGACATGCTTCCTTTTTCTTACAAACCTACACTTTTCAAAACCAACAATAATTACTCACCTTTCCCCCCGTTACTGAAAAATTAGCAAAAATGCAGTACTTTTCATTTTTGTGTCCTGTGTAGGTCTTCAGGCATTTTCCTTTACTATAGTCCCACAGCTTTAATGTATTGTCTAGTGTTGCAGCTAGAATATATTTGCCATTTGGTGAGAACTTAACAAAGGAAACAGGAGGATTATCATCATCGATGAGCGTTTTGAGACACTGGCCTGAAGTGGTGTCCCAGATTCGACTGAAACAGATAGAAATCTTTCAAATTGTGTTGATAATTGATGGCTATTAAAGCTCTTTTTTTATGAGTAGAAAAATAGTGTGGATGTTTCAACACAATAGTTATCAAGTCTAATGATAATGTAGTAATTTTTTTTACTCCATCCGAACAATAAACCCATGACTGATGTGATGTTAACACATTGCACTAAAACTGTAACATGCTACCAAATATTAACATTGTATCATTTAATTAATGTTACAATTCCCTGCACTCTTTATTATTTGAGGACATTTAAACTATTCTCAGGTAATTATTACACAGAGACTGATTGCCCTGTGAAGCTTTTATCAAATTATTTAAGATTATCAAAAGATAATTTTTTTAAGTCTTTTGATTAAATACAATGGCAAAAAATTAAACTAAAGGTCTGACAATGAATTGGTGCATTAAGAGTTTACAATAAGGTCACTGAGGCAACTCAGTACAAAGTTGGAATAATGAAGGACTGATTCTGAAATACTATTTTTTAATTGAGTAAAGATTAGGTCTCAGCACAGCCAGCAAGTCCATGGGGATGAAAACACAAGTTATTAGACACTTGAAGTGGTAGGCTGAGAGTTTTTGTTGCCATGCAAGCATATATGCTCTTCAATCCTACTTTCTTTTGGCTCAAGACACAAAACAACAAATCATTATCAACTTCCTCAGTTCAAGCCCACTCAGTGAGAAGAGGAAGGGGATCTGATGTGCTTGATTCTCAAGCAACATATTTACCTCATTTACCAAAGGGCCACCCACTAGGCTCCCAAGTGCCACACAATCCACATCAGAAAAATGTTTCTTGAAGTATCAACTTACAAAGATTTTAGCCAGTATCAATCTCCACTGCTCCGAATAAACTAAAGGGAAATAAAAAAAGAAAAAAACAACAAAAAATAATGTGACACATGTAATCTCAAACATACAAGGAACATTGCCAAGTTTAGTGATCGAGGCCTTAATGAAAATATCGGAAACATAGGCTTGCAAATCTCACTCAAGAAATAATATTTAAAAGCCTTTGCTGGATTCAGTGCAACATGAGATCCACTTACCAGTTTCCATGCTTAAAAAACAGGTAGCCTTTTTTAGAATTTCAGACTTACTTTGAGACTGGCTAATGCAAGAGCACAGCTGACTCTATTTCAAAGCATGTAACTTGGAGACTCAACCTCTGAAGAAAGAATGAGGAGGAATGCTTGAGGAAGCTAGTTCCAGACTATCCACTGAATATTTTAATGGAGGACCTTATCACAGGCTTTGCATTCACCAGTCAAAGCAATTCACTCTGCACGTCAAGTAAATATCATGGGTGTAGATTATGTATTTGTAACCCGATTGATTACATTTCTTACCTTCATGACTACCATATACTGTACTGTATACTTGAGTACACACACTTCAAGTTTTTATGATAATTTTTGTTTGCAAAAAGTAAGGGCTTTGAACTACAGTATATACGCACAATATATCTGTGGGGTTAAAATCCATGCATTTCCGTGGGTTATTTATGGTGAACTATACGTGCTCGCGATAGGCTAACCTCACTAATAAGCTCCTCTAACCTGGGCTTGCCTACATACTCCTAGATTCTTTCTCTATGTTGCAACATGAAGAGGAGAACCTCATTCACTACATTAATCAATAAGAGTACCAACCTCATATCTGAGGGTTAGCGACCTCAGTCCTCCACTCTACACGTTTTCGAGCTATTTTTACCAATCATCCAAGATTTTGTATCTCTTTGGGAACCCAGTTTTTAATTACAATCATCCATCCCAGTCTCTGCCTTCCCCTGGCCCTCCTACCCTCAACTTTGCCCATTTATCATATGACCAAAGTACCATATCTCATTTTTTCTTTTTCTGTACATTTCAAGTATTTCCCTAGAAGTTTTTACTAACCTCATTACTTTGTCACTTGTATTCCTGCAAGTTTAACTTATTCTTAGCATACACATATAACACCACATTTCAAAGGCCTCCAACCTTTTTCTAGGGTCTGCTGAGTGTCCATGCTTCTGACCCATACAACAGTCCTTGCCATATACTGTATAGCCTTTCAGCACTGTTTTTCACAAATTGAAGTTAATGTCCCTTTTCTTTACATCTTTTTGATTATTATATGTTGCTTTTGCTTCACCTATTCAAGTTATGATTAATTTCGTACATCTCCCATCACAGCTAATGTTACTGCCCAAATACTACAAAATTTTTCCATTTGTTAAAGTTCTGTTGCTTACCATAATTTTTATTTTAGGATTTGTTTCCTATTTGGAAGCAATTATAAATTCTTAACCCACGTTCTTCACCTTCTTCCACTAATCTGTTAACCAGTTTTTGTAATGCCTCTTCTCTATCTGTGACAAGAGCAGTATCATCTGCATAGCATATATATACCAATGAAACTTTTCAAGGAGTTCTCCCCGTTGCTTGCTAAACCCCTATGCTCCATCATCAATGCTTCTCTCAGTCAAGCCAGATGCCCAGCTGACTGGAAGACCTCTTATGTATCACCAGTGCCCAAGTCAACCAGCCCACAATCCTTAAATCAGCTACGACCTATTGCAATCACCCCAATACCCAGCCTAATCTGTGAAAGTTTTGTGTTCGACTGGGCTTATGCTGATATTGCAGGAGTCGTAGACCCTCAGCAATTTGGCAACATGAAAACTTCCTCCACCACTCACTGTCTTGTCAGCTTTCTCGATTACATATACCGCCATCTCGAGAAACGAAAAACGTCTGTAGCTGTCGCCTTCATTGATTTCACTAAAGCATTCGACCTAGTCGACCACAATATAATCATCAACAAAGCTATTGACCTCGGGCTTCGGAGAAGTCTTATACCATGGCTTACAGACTTCCTCAGTGACCGACGCCAAGCTGTACGCTTCCGAGGGGCTGTCTCCACCTTTCAGTCACTCACCTGTGGCGTCCCCCAAGGCACCAAGATGGGACCACTCTGCTTCCTTATGCTCATCAATGATGCCCTAAGAGAAACCCCTGCTCGCTGGAAATATGTCGACGACTCCACCATTGGGATCAGGCCAACAATTCTGCTCCCAACTATACCGCCCTTCAGGATTTATTGAACAGTCTCCAAACTGGGCCACCAACAACCATGTCACCATCAACCATACCAAGACCATGGTTATGCACATCAACCTCTCCTCCGACATTGTCCCACCTCCTTCCATTACTCTAGGTCCGAACACACTCCAGGTTGTAGATTCCACGAAGCTCCTCGGCGTCACCATAGACAACAAACTAAATTGGAAACCACACGTCAGTGAAGTTGTCAAATCCTCCAGTTTCCGTCTCCACCTCCTCCGCCGACTCAAGTCCCTCGGAGTTCCTGCACCAGAGCTCCTCAGTGTTTACACAACATTCATACTTCCCAAGCTCACCTATGCCTCCCCCACCTGGTCTTCCTCCCTAAATGCCACACAACGTAAACACCTAGAAAAAGTGCAAAAGAGGGCATGCAAGATTATTCTCTCCCCTTCCTACTCCACATATCAAGAAGCGCTCAACACACTGACCCTTTCGACTCTCACTGACCAGCACCACGACCTCATCTGCAAATTTGGTAAGAAGCTTCTACACCATCCTCGACACCGGCTCCTACTACCACCTGAGATCACTAGCCCGAGAACTGCTGTTCGACACCACAACCGCATCCAGCCCATACGTGCACGAACTGATCGCTATAAGAACAGCCCAGTCCCAACCATTGTAAAAATTATCAATAACCTGTAATAAACCAGTGTATTCACTCCCAGTAAACACTACTCCTTGCAATGTCACTATGTTGAAATGAACTGTAGTTTGAGCTTTTCCCCCATCTAGTTATTATATATCTTATTTGTATCACTTATGTTACTTGTATATTATTTGTAATTCGAAACCCATTCCCCAAATATGTAACTGTATATTTTCAGCCTTCTGGCTGCCAAGCTCTATCAATAAACCGTTAATTATTATTATTATTATATTTTATATTACTTTACCATTAAAACTTTCATTCCTTCATAGTCATTTATAACTTCTTTCATGAAGAATTCTGAATATATATCATACAATGTTGGAGATAGAACACAGCATGGTCTTACTACCTGTCTAACTTTGAACCAATTAATAAGTTCATTATTCACTAACACGCAGCCTTCTGTTGCCAGTAAAAAAACATTCAGAATTCGAATAGGTATCTCCTTCAGTAATGCCAATTTTTTTCAAGACCTCTATAAGTTTATTGTGTTTTACCTTACCAAAAGCTTTTTCAAAATAAAATAAACATTTAAAAAAATTTCTCAGACTAAATATAACCTGCCTATTTCTTTATATTTCATTTTCCCTTTCTAAAACCATTTTGAACTTCAGATAACCTCCTTTTTATTCAAAACTTTATTTTACTTAAAATTATGTTTAATAAAACTTTGCAGGCATGACTTATAAAGCTTATTGTTTTATTGTGGGTGCACTCTAAAGCTCCTTAGGTAATAATATAAATACTGTATTGAATTTTAAGAAATCATTTGGAAGGTCTCCGTTGAAGTACAGTGGGGTATGCTATAACGAACGGATCCTACTACGAATATTCCTATAACGAACGGTTTTACCTATAAAATTGAGAATGCTATAACGAACGCAACTCCTACAACGAACGCGGATGAATACGGGACTATTTCGCCTGGCGCATGAATATTGTTGTACCGCGACCCACAACAAGAGCGTCAGGCGCCATCTTTGTCTCATTGTGTAGCCAGTGCACCACTGTTATTGTTGAAATTTCGTCTTTTGATGTGGAAATTCGCGTTATTTGTATAACTATTTTGTTATACAAGTATACAATTGTAACAATGAGTCGTCCAAAGCGAGTGAGAAAGCTAATAACCCTTGAAACTAAGAAAGAAATTGTAAAGAAACGTGAGAATGGAAGAAGCATTGCGAAACTTAGTGATGAATATGGGATGGCTAAATCGACTATATGTACGATTTTGAAGAATAAAGAGGAGTTAAAAACTGTGCAAGTGGCTAAGGGAATCTTTAGACTTAGCAAAGCAAAGTGTAATGTGATTGAAGAGATGGAAAATTTACTCTTAGTGTGGATAAAGGAGAAAGAAATGGCAGGTGGTAACATTAGTGAAGCTATAATTTGTGAGAAGGCTAAACAATTGTTTGAGGACCTTAAAGCCAAGACTCCCAGTGGAAGTGATAGTGATGTGCCAGTGTTTAGGGGTACCTGCATGCTGAATAACACTAAGGTAAGATAAAGTACCGTATTTTTTACATTTTCCACATAATTTTTTTCAGTGTTAAGTGGTTGTATTTGGGGGCCTGGAACGGATTAATCCTATAACGAACGAATGCTATAACGAACGAGGTTCTGGAACCAATTACGTTCGTTATAGCATACCCCACTGTACAGTACAGAATAGTACAAAGCAAACCCTTGCTATTTGTGGGTTTGTGATTTGCACTTTCAACTATTCGTGGTAAGCAGATGGTGGCTAACTTATGAGCCTCTCCCATAGTGTCTCCTCTCCCTTTGTTTGCGCTCAACCATTGCCTGCGATGCAGCATCTCTTGCGTTCTGTGTGAAATGGCCCCTAAAAGACTGCCTAGTGTCAGTGGAGCAAAAGGTTTATAGACCTCAAAACCAAGAGGAAACAACTACCAATCACGATGCTTTTCAAGAATGAACCAGCTACTCGCCCAGCTGATTCGTCTCCCTCACCTACTCGGTCAGCTGCTGCCACTGCTCCACCATTCACCTTCCTGCCAAGTGCCAACCCACCACACACCACCTGCCTCCCACCACCCACCACTGCATTACCCTCTTCCAACAGTGGTCCTGATGATCTCCCTATGCTTCAGTAAACCAGACTTCATCGAACTGTACAGAACACTTCATCAAGCTCCAAACTTCCATATACGAAGGAAAGCCGTAGTGGTGACTTAAGATTCTCATACACAGTATAGGTATACAGTAGTGCACAAAGGTAGCATTAGTTGCTATTCGCTGTTTTGCCACTGTGTACCATTCTTTGGAACCTAATGCCTGCAAATAGCAAGGGTTTGCTGTGTAGAATTACATATTTTAGTCAAACATTTGATCCCTTTCTTGCCCATTTGCCTTAGAAATTTTGCTGGAAACTGATCAAACCCACAAGTTTTATCATTTTTCATTTTAGTCACAGCTGCAACAACAACTTTTTCCAGAACTGGTAGTTCAGCCTTTATTTCTTTTGTTACTTACCTCCACTCTATCCTTATCACTGTACTGTATAGTTCTTCTACACACTCTGCCCATCTCTTTTATTCTTCAAACAGGATCATTTTGTCTTTGCTTTTAATAGACCTGCCCCATTCATTTAATTTTTTCTGGTTCAATTGTTCAATCTTTCTGTACAAAACCAGACTCAAATGAAGATATACCAATAATTTTCCTTTTGCTTGTATCTGTTTACATCGCTGGTGCCATTGTTGCTTAGTTAGATTCATCACTGTAACCACACCCCCCACCAGGCCAAGCTGTGAGCTATGTTATGGTTATTTTTCAACTCGTAATTTTGGGTAGACACATATTTTTTCTTCTAATAAGTTACATGCACACACATTCTTACATACCAAACGTGAAAAAAAGAAAAGAAAAAAGTATAAGGTCAAAACAGTGTAACCCCTCATTGTTACAACCTAAAGGAAATGTTCAAAGTTGCCCCCTTCTGCCTCAATGCAGGCCTGTACACATCTGTGAATAAAGGATTACAAAAACCTACGGGGGTTTCACTTCAAATTCACTCTCATTAATACAGCATCTTAAATGTATTGTAACATGGAAACTATGCAGAATCTGACATTTTACCATAGAGACATTGTGGTTTAGAATTATCCAAGGAGTTCATCCTCCAATTTAATTTACTCTTTGCTGAATCACCCTGTATATATGGTAATCTTAATGAATGACAATTATGATGCCTACTACAGCACATATCTGTTTTTCCTTTACAATACAGTGCTAAAATTTTCAAGAAATGTTCATCAAACTTACCATAAACCATCGTAGCTGCTAGATACGATAAGGGTTCCATCTCTGTTAAAGTTGACAGCACTGACTGGATCAGAGTGGGCTGGTAAGGTCTTTAGACATTTTCCTGTTTTGACATCCCATATACGTACACTCTCGTCAAACTGTGTGGATGGAAGTAACATGAACATAGCCTGCAGAACAATATCCACAAACATATATATTTCATAAATATTCTTCATTATTAAATATAGGGGATAAGAATACTGTACTAATAGTTTTTTGCAACTTACGGAGCCTGAAACAATCAGGTTTGACTGTGGGTTAAAATTGCAGCAAAACACATAATTACTGTGTCCCTTAAGAGTTTTCACACATTTGCCCTGAAAAAGAGATTAAATCAGCTTTACTTAACAAAATTTATTGTCCCTTTGCAAGTTTTGAAAAATATACGCATATAAATACATGTACTGTACATGTTTGTCTAACCACAATCCAAAAATAAAAAGAGACTGGTTAAAGCAGCAAGAGCTTTAATTGTCAATGCTTGTCCCACTGTATCTCACCACCCACTAGCAGTGTAGTTTTTTTCCATGCAAACAGGACTTTTCTTGTGAATTTGGGTAGTCGCATAGTTGCAGATCCCGATCCTTGGAATTCAATAATTAGCACATTATCCCACCCCCTTGGCAGAATGCTAGTTCAATAATGGGTTTCCACTAGCAAGCAGACCAGATTGTGTACTGTACTCGTATTGTTGCAGAGTGCACACGTAATGGTTTATATGGAGGGATACCGATCCTTCACAACAGTCAGAATTCAAACCTGGAACCATTTTCATTTTATTGTAATTAATAAGAAGTGCAGGAAGAAATCAAACAAGAAACATTGCCAAATCTATTCTCTGAGGTACCTTCTTGCCAAAGAATGAAGATATGTGCAGCAGACTGTTTTGAAATGCTGGGGGTGACATAATATAAGAAAAACAATCTGTGGCATGGAGTTCCACAAAGTGCTTATCCTGGTATAAACGAAGAACTTATTTACACCCTAAAAATCTTTTTATAGGCTAAGAAAATCCAGATGCCATTGTATGCTTAAAATGGGTGCCTGATGATAGTAATGTTGGATGTAGTTTTTCAGTATTGCGCAGTGACTGGAAGTATCACTAAAATAGGATAAGCAATGAGATTCCTCTAAGTATGTGACACTGGTTTTATAGTTGATTGTTCAGATGACCTGAAGCCAGGCAGTTCTTGTAATGCAGGGTGACTATTTTTGCAGCAGAATCTGTCTAATATGCACTTTCACTGCTGAAGCAATGGCCCCACCCTATATTAATTTGCAAGAAAATCTGAATTACAGTAGTTTGATTCCAGCTGATTAAAAAAAAGGGAGGGGGGTTTAAAGCTCCTTCAGAACAAGGGTTTTCAGGGTCAATCCTCCGTTTCAGGCCATGGCTCTTCAGCAAAGAAGTTTTAACACATTAATCCAAAGTCAGGTGCTACAAGAGTTCCAGGATAGAATAAACAACAACCCTCATGAAAGTTCACATCATATTCACTGGGATAGGAAGTTCAAAATTCCCTAACTCTCTTACTGAATAGGTCAGGTGTTACCTAAATTCTTCAAGAAATAAATATACACAATACTGAATATCTTAAATTACTAAATTGAAGCTCAGTAACATTTATCAAAACTTACTGATGCGAGTTCCCAAATTTTTAGAGTCTTATCATCTGAAGCAGACACAAGAAGTCTACTGTCATGTGACCAGGCTACATCACTGATGCCCAATTTATGACCAGACAAAGTCTTCTCGAATTTTCCATCATAGGCACCCCATATCTTGATCACTTTGTCAGCAGCTGAAGAGAAAGATATAAAGAATTAATGTTCAGAAACCTCATTCATCTTCCTTGACAGTTTTCAAGTCATTAAGGTCTGCTCAGTGGCATAGCGAGTGAGGGGAGGCAAATAGGGAGACTGCCCAGAGTGGCACTCTCTGGGGTGGAGGCAAAATTGCTTCCAAGATAAATTATAATTAACCAACTCATTTTTACTTTTTGAAGCAGAGTTGTGGGCGACTACTGGGGTGTTGGTGGTACAGCTGCAACATGTATAACTCTTACCAATATGTCAACGGTCTAAGCCTTGGCATGGACACATATGAGAAGGCTTTTATCCAGCGTGACCCTACCAAACATCAGAGATTTCCTGGTCCCCGGTTTCCTCCTGTACTAACACAGGATAGATCAGTGGCACGAAGAGCTAGTAAGTTGATAAGTGGCAAAAATGAAAATAAGAAAAAAAGAAAAAAGTAATAGATGCAGAAATAATAATACTCTACCTGTTATAACAATTAAGCAGTAATTCCATGCCGAGATATTCCCTGCCCCGCCTGGCTATTTGTTGCCATGCAGCGATGCACAGTAAGGTACAAGTTCACTTCATGGTTTGTTATTTGCTGGTATCCACACAGGTCAGTGTACTGTGCTAACCACTCAAGATCCCAGTATTTGTGTTTTGCTATTGGTAAGTTATATGCATAATGCCCATGATCTACATGCAAGAGATATTGTTTTGTAATACATACAGGTATTCTTGCAAATTAATCAACGGATAAAATAATGTTATCTGATGAGCGTAATGTTCACTGTCAAACGACAGTGTCATTGGCACAAAAACTCGTTGTCTGACAGAGACGTACGACTACATCATTGCTAGCGAGCTACAGTAAGAAATTGGTTGTCTACAGAGAGATATCAGAATGTATGAGGACACAACAGGAAAGGAAACAGTGGATTGGAAGGCCCATAATATCCTTCAGCACTGTATGTGAGGACTTGAAGAGCCTTTCTCCAACCTTCTCACCATATTTAGGATATTTATCACCATGTGTGTAGTAAGCATTGCAACATGTGAGAGAAGCTTCTCCAAGCAAAAAATAATTAAGGATTACTTCAGATCAACAATGAGCCAGGCTAGACTCAGCCTTGCCATCTTTTCCATTGAGTGTGATGTTGCCAAGTCAGTGAATTTTGATGATGTAATGGACTAGAAAAAATATCTGAATCAGCAAATGTTTGGTTCACTGATTATAAATTATTTAAAAAATTTATATTATGTTCTCTTATTCTAAAGCAACTTGATTTTTAGTTTTCAAATTAGGCTTTGTGTTGACAGACGTTTTGTGTATTCCATTAAAATTGTAATACAGGCAGTTCATTTTGATACATATTTTATTCAGCCCTTAAGTTTTCAACAGTGAGGGGTAACCATGTCAAAAATGCAAAACTTATTTTTGTTAAGCAAACCAAAATGTGGTTCAAAATCATAAAACTCAAAGAGAGGCCAAACAAGATTCCAACTTATCTGGTTTAACACTTAATGTTCTGGGAACTTTAATATTTCATGCAGGCTAATGCCATACGATTACGATGCACTTATTTCAAAGAATAATTAGCACAGAAAAGGTTAAGAAAGATGCAAATAGGATAATGTGCACAGCAGCATTTTCAATGATCCTATACAGTGGGTTTAATTTTAGGTGACGGCTGGCAACAGCCCAAATTCTTCTTAGATTATCCAGGAAATATATATGATCATCATCAGCCATTACTGAACAATAAATTAGAGACTATCTGAAAACCTAAATGCTGGACACATGCAAATCATGCCTAATAACTTTATCAAGGAAGCTTCTCTGCAAAACTCCTTGATGTTGCTGTGTGGGGCAGCACTTGGAAGTCTCACCCTGAGTGACACATGGTCTCACTATGCCACTGGGTCTGCTCTTACGAGTACTCACAACGTATTGTAGACATTCCAGAATTTGTTACAGTACATAATATAAAATTTCTGAGAAAAAAAAATACACAGAATAAAACAGACGAAGATGGGAATTTAAAGGTATTAATCCCACAGTTAAATCAGAGAACTACTGGTTAGAAAATACTGTAACAACAATTTCAATACAATATACAGTACAGTACTGTGCAGGTAACACACTTACATGAGCTTGCCAGCCAGTCTCCAGTTGGACTGAATTTCACAGATGAAACAGCTTTTGAATGTCCCGAGAGTGTATATTTTAGCATATAATTTGGCTTCTGCAACAAAAATAAAAAATTCTGGTTCTTTATCATGAGTTGTTACAAGTACGGTAAATTTTTGTCCACAAAATAATATCCCATACAAATTATCAATATAAGAAACAAGAATAAGACAAAAACTTTATAAAAAAAAATTCTGAGGATGTGGTGTGTTCAGCTTACTAAAGTATGGCTGGCTGGCTTTGTGCTAGAGCTGGTGTCACTGCCTCTTTGTTCCTCTGACATGGTGAGAGCAATTATCCAAGCCAGCAGTTCAGTGAGCTCCTAGTGCATACCTTGAACAAGAAATACACAACCAGACATAAGTCAATACAATTATAAACACATTCAGCATATACAGGGCATTATGTTAATTGCATGCTCTTTTCATTATACAGTACAGTAGAGCATAAGTCTTAGGAATTATTTTAATACCAAAACAACGAGATGTATAATAGAGGGCCCCTCAATTTATGAGGACCGATTCACAAAACAAATTTCATTTACAATTCTGTATTCTGATGTAAATTTATATTTCCTGGATAACCTCCAGTATGTACTGTACTGTATTTCACTAATCACAAAATAATCTACAGTGACCCCTCGTTTAACGAACGCCTCGGTTAATGAAACTTCGGTTAACGAACTGCCTTCCATAAGGATCTTCAATTCGGTTAACAAATTTCTTACGAACCGACCTCAACATGTTTTCGCTTGCACTGACCGGGCAACCAGCTTTAGTATCAGTTCGCCAATACATTAATCGGTTCTAGGGCTTAAATTCCTTACTATTTTAGTAAATATCAAGAAGTTTATACTATTCAATAATTTTAAAAGTTAAATATTCAATTTTTTCGTCATTTTAACAATTATTGAACATAATTGAAGGTAAAGTGACTAGTTTAATGCGCGGCATCCAGCCTCTTAACACAGCAAACAGGCGTTAGTCTCTCTCTGTTTTCACTGGAGGTAACATCTTGCTTGAGACTCTCTTCAACTAAATGCTTTTTTTCTGTGTTTCCAAGCAAATTATTGGTCATTTTGAAATATATTTTACATATTGACAATATATAATGCAGTGCAGTGTTGATTTAAAGAAAATAATCTTGAAATACATCAAGAGAACTAAAATTTTATGGGTGAAATGGTGCCATGGGGTGACTTCTCTTCCACCCCAATGCCTTCTCTTCTTCCTTCTCCTCCACCCCCATTCTAATTCCCATCATCATCATCATCATCATCCAGGAGCCTTCTACATACACATCTCAAAGTAAGTGAACTTTTCTACCATTTTTGTTGAATTTAGGAAATTTTCGGTGAGCTGGAACCAATTACCCAAAAACCCATTGAAACAATAGTTTCGGTTAACGAACGACCTTCTGGAACGGATTGAGTTCGTTAACCGAGGGGTCACTGTATAATATATACGTATAGACAATTCAACTAAAAATTACAACAGTACAGTTTATAAGCTAAAAAACAACACATTGAAAGTATTATAGTCATCTTGGCTCACAGGACTGGTACAGAAATTAGAAACCAGACACTGACCTACAGACCAACAGCTGTGGGAACACCAATGTTTATATTTTCCTGAAGTATTATCTGACGTTGGAGGACAAAAGAAGCTAAATGGATACAGTATATACGTACTGTACTGTTAATATCCACCACTATTAAACAAGTACTGTACTTGTGTTTATGATACAGTTTCTCATGTTTGTCATGATTAGAGTACAGTACAGTGGTCCCTCGGTTAACGAATTACCTTCCATGAGAATATTAAATTCGGTTAACGAAATTCTTACGAAAATGTTTCGACATCCTTTGGCTTGCTCACCAGTTGGAAGATTAGTCCGCCAATACAGAAATCGGTTCTAGGGCTTACATTCGTTAAAATTGGAGTAAATATCAAGAAGGTTGTACTATTCAATAATTGTCCAAGTTCTATATTAAATTTTTTAGTCATTTTAACACTTATTTAACATAATTGCAGTACAGGAAACTAGTTTTTGGTGTGCCTATCAGCCACTTCACTCACCCACCAAGGGCTCAGTTGTGTCTCTGTTCAGTGGAGGAAACATCTTGCTTGTGGGTCTCTTGAACACAGAGTATTTTTACGTTTTTACAGTATAATTATTGGACATTCTAAAATTTATTTAACATATTGATAATATTTAGTGCAGTGCAGTGTTGATTTAAAGAAAATAATCTCGAATTATACCTAGTGAACTTAAAATTTTATGGGTGAAATGACGGCATCAAGCATGGAGTGACTTCTCTTCCACCCCCACTTCCTTCTCTTTTCCCTTCTCCTCCACCCCCACTTCTAATTCCCATCATCATCCTCAACCAGGAGCCTTCTACATATGCACCTCAAAGTGTACTTTACTGCATTTTTTTAATAATTTGTATGTAATTTTCGGTGAACTGGAACCACTTACCCAAAATCCCATTGAAACAATGGTTTCGGTTAACAAACAACCTTGTGGAATGAATTGTGTTCGTTAACCGAGGGACCACTGTATTCTGTCATATTATGAATACTGTACAGTACTAGAGATCTCCAAGCAACAGAATGATTGCCATACCATCAATGTTCATTCTCTGAAGCAGTATACCAAGGACTTGTTTTGTGAAAGGTTAGCTGCAGTAAACTGGGCTATTGTGATAAGTTGCAATCATAAGTTGCAATCAGAGTTGTAAAAATTACTGTACTTTGTTACTTAAGTAGAAGTATTGTACATTGGCAAAATGTTACACAAGTAAAAGTAGAAGTATTGTACATTGGCAAAATGTTACTCAAGTGAAGTAAAAGTATCCAAAGATCAATGCACTCAAGCAGAAGTAAAAAAAGTATTTCATTCATTAAGTACTGTACTCAAGTATTGAAAGGAAAAAGTAAAAAAAAATTTTTTGCCTCAAAATTTTTAAATAAATCCACAGTAAATTATAAAAAAAATTGTAAACTGAAGGTAAAAATAAGACACATAGCATTACAAATTTTAAATTGCAAATCGTTCTTTTGAGATTAATCAATACAGTAACTAATTCTCAAAACTATGGCTGTCCAATTAGGATCTTTTAGGCCTAAATATAACCCCAGAGTGACCTACTGAAAGATAATACATTCAGCCGCTCTTCTCCCTACAATCCACCGCAGGGATAGTAAACGGGCTGAAAATATATCCATCTAACACCATGATCACTTTCTTCCTTATCCACACATGTATCGTCAACATGGATTTATGGTCCGCAGACATAATGTTGCCTGCTCGCATTAGGTTAGGATACAGACCTATCTGGCAAGAATCTGAGGTGGGGGATGACCCACACTTTTCTTCCTGTAAACTCCATAACTGTTCCAATACTGTACTAACACCCTTCAGCACTACTGCATTGCCTTGACTGTCCCACTGTCAGGGACCTCCTACCACAGGGAGAGTCACTGACCACTATATGTCACCACCTACTTATTCGTAATAATTTAGATTTAATTCTTGTATGCTACCCACGCTTTGGTGGGTGCTAACTCCCATTGTCCTTAACCCTTAGGCCCCGGGTGACGTTCCAGAACGTCTGACTATTTTCCCGCCCTTTTTTTTAATTATTTTTGGAAAACTTGATTTTTTTCTCGATTTATCTTCACACGGGGGTACTGCCAGCAGCACCCTAACCCAGGGCTTAAGGGTGAAATCATATCAGTATTGTTTCTGCATCACAAGTCATAGCGTGTCCTGCGATAAATGAGTACAAATGTATTACTGTCTGACCGCGTGGTCTTGTGACTATGCTAGTTGCCCCCTGAGGAGTAATAAATTAAATAAATAATAAATAATAAGCCCAGCATGACTAAACAGATGCTCACAAGCAACAGATGCAGGTAGTGGGGTGCTAAGTTTCAGGGATAAGTCACAATGTCGGAAAAGACCTCAGTAGCTCCATTCCATCACTTGGGCATGCCAGGTAACTATCAAGCTCCTTCAGTTGAGGAGTTTGTGGATGATTATTGCCTCCCTAGGGACCGAGTCCGACTAAGACTCACCTTGAACTGTCTCTCTAATTGGGGTGTGGATGTGGTGACATCACTTTTCGATTAAATTGATGAGTGGCTGAATTTTTCACACCAAGTAACTTGTATAGATACAGGTTTTATATCTACGATGAAATTATGTTCGAGTTATTTGTTCTTTCTATTTCTCTTAAATCTAGTAAAAATTCATGGGAAAATCCATTGTTTACTTATTTCTCCGGCAATCATCAGAAGTTTGGATGTCACGTGATACTTGTGAGCCAATCAACGGAAGACCTGTGAGCATGCTTAAGATGCGCAAGCACTGGAATTTGAAATGGGTAGTTGCAAGATGGCATCTCTGTGAAGATTAGTCCTTGGTGGATTGGAGTATAATTCAGCAAGTATTTGAGAGCAAAGCCTCAGCTGTTGACATCTACAGGGCTCTTGGCGTTCTTCAGTCAAATGTCCAAGGTGTGATTCAGATGGTCAGTATCGTGAAGATCAGCATACTGTACTTGGTATTGCAGTAAGAGACAGACAATCCCCAAGAGAAAGAGATCTCGGTGTCTGAATACCATACTGCACCACTTCATTCAAGTGGCATTATTTTCATTGGAAATGAGTACAATACTGTACTATTTATAGAGTTATGAACCTCCAATTACCAACAATATAAGTTGCACAAAGTGGGAAGAGCTTTGACATAGAAGGAAATTGTGGGGTAAATGCACTTAAAAACTGATGAAATGAAACCTCCTAACCAGAGAAGCCAGAAGGACCTGACAATGAAATACACTATAAAAGCTTATTTTCCTTAGCAGTTTCCAATGAATGGCAAATTCTAAATATTTACCAAGTTGCACTTTTTTAATGAGTATGAATTGGTCGAATTAATGTCTATAAAGTGTTCCTGCTCATGTAAACACTTGTACTACAAAATGGCATCGTCGTCGGAGGGCACGATATGTCCTTATTTATGAGAAAGGGAGAAAAGCAAAATATGGAGTGCTCTTCCTTTATTTTTGAGGTAAGAAATGATTAGTTTTACGTAAAGGTTGAGGAAACAGTTATCACCCGAAGGAACATAAGGAGTTGGTGATAACTGTTTCCTCCACTTTTACTCAATTCTGTTCCAGAGTACAGTATACCAAACATTCTAGTTAAGTTACAGATTACAGAGCAGTTATTTACTGGCATTCATTCAGACTGATCGAGACAGATGACATATTAGATTCTTAAGTTCAGTCACTTACAAACATGGTTTAGTCAGATTTACAATTGACTGAATTCTGTAATCTAGGATTGGCATCACCAACCTTAATTAAATAAAAAGAAAGTCAGACATATAGTGGTACAGTAGTAAATAAAGACTTGTGACCAAAAAGTAACCACTGCCATAGGTTTGGATTCATTTTGTTTTGGCAATGGATATTTTGCCGTGACTGGCTAAGTTCCTACTAACGCTATTTTACCGTGAGTGCGCTCGGTTAATATTGACGACTGACCCGCGGACGAGTTATTTGTGAATTCTGATATGATAATCATTTCTTGTGCAAATGCTTCGTTTTGTAAATAATTAGATGCCTAGGCGAGTACAAATTTGTCTTCCCGGCAGTAATGTGGCCTCGCTCTTCGCCGAGCTAGCCTCTCATTCCTGTGCCAGTTTCATTTTCAGCATGGTGTGTGAAAGTTGGTGTCGGTCTTGTGTTACAGTTTTAGTGCTTATAAAGGAACTTGGCTTGAAAATGCCAAGATTAAACCCAGTACTGTATTGTATTTTTATTTATAAACATCTTTCTAAGAAAATACTTTTCACAGCAATACTGTGAAATTGAACTGGGTTTGTGTGCAAAGTGTTGTACGTGAATTATTTCAAAACACTCCGCCACTCGGGCTGGATCAAAGCCACAAAAAAACGCAAAATTACACCATATCAAAGTATTAAGTTTTTACTGTTTAATATATACCGGGGGGGTCGGGGGCAGAGCCCCCTTTGTAAGGAAATTAGGTAAGGTTAGGTAGTTTTGTTTGGTTAGGTTGGCGAGATTTGTTTTTCATATCCACCAAGGTTAGGTTAGGTTAAATTTACAAATAAACACTTTTTAACACATTTGCACAAACTACAAGTGTCCACTATAAAAATAAGGTGAAATTGTGACATTTTTAAAAACGTTTTCTATGAAAAATCGACCACTGGTCAGTCGCCAATAATTACCGTGTGTTTTGATTGGCTATCGTCCATTTCCGGCGAACAATGTGAGAACTATATTTGACTGTAACTCTGGTGACATTTGGCATTTATTTTGCCATGAGGCGATTGTTGTGCAGCTGTAAACATATCTTACCATAAGAAGAAGAAAATAAGGAGTCTGCAATAGGCCGGTTGGCCTGTGCATGGCAGCTCCTGTCGAGAGTTACTACCACTCTCTATCATCCGTGAATCTATCCAGCCTCCTTTTAAAACTTTCCAGCGTTGCAGCACTTACTACAAGTCGACCACCAACCACCACCACTACCATATTTCTGTTGTGCATGAAAACTTTTTATTATTAAAGAGGTGACATTTACTAGAACCTAATAGAACCTGACCTGACCTAACCAACCAAAGAAACCTACCTAACTTCCTGAGGGTCAGACCCCCCCGTCATATTAAACAAAAAGTACTTCGTCAATCAGAGCACACTCGCAGTAAAATAGCGCTTGTAGGAACTTAGACAGTCACAGCCAAATATCCACTTTGTTTTGTTTTTCAAAACTTTAGATTGTGAATTTACCTTATACTGTATATGGAAAATCATCATCAATTTACAGCCATTTTTCATGTTTGCTTGTCAAGTACCCCACTAAGTGCACGTACACTTTAAATTCCAGCCAGTCACAATCAGTAAGTTAAAATAGCTTTTGCTTACAATACTAGCTCACAGCAAAATATCCACGTTGTAAGCCATACCTGAATTCCACAGCAGGAAATCAACTCTTCATTGAATTTGGAATAATCAGTTAAAAATTTATTTAATTTCATCCTGACTGAGGGAAGTGTAAAACTGCACCACTGCCAACTTCATTACCCCACCTCCTTCTCGACCGAAAACAAAACGAGAAACATAACAGTGTGAACCACCTTAAGGGAATGGACTAACAAGCCTACCAGTGGAGGTAAGGATAAAGCAGTGCACAAATCTACTACATTTCAAAACGAGTTCCCGCTCTCGCTCATGATTATCTCTTGGCCCCTTACATGTAACAGGCAGTATTCATGTATTAAACCTCTTATGATTAAAACAAGTTTAGTTTTATATGACATCCGTTGCATGAACATTCACTCACCTCTCCTTGAGGCAAGCCGTATAACAATACTAAAGGACCAGTGATGCAGTCCTGCTGCTCTATTTACACTTTAACACAACACTGCCATGTGAGGTGACCAAACATTAAACTTTAAAAATACAAATAGTGTTATTCAAGGTGATGATGTATCCAAATAAGAGTCATCAGACACACACGTTCATCTGTGTCAGTAAATTAGTTTTCCATTGATAAATTTGTTGTAAAATAAGAATTAACTTTAGGAGAGTTTACAGTAGACGAAGGCTTGGCGCCAAAACCTCATCATTGGAACTTGAAGGGTGACGTCAGGTCGGCCATGATGTTGTGAGAGTCATGGAGCACAGACGCTCCTGAGTGTGCTCCTCAGGACCAAGCTGTGGCCTTCCCTTCTTATATATTGAATGTTTAATGATTCCTAACAATTCGGCATGCACGAGCTTTGGAAAAGAAGGTGAATAAATGGTGTGCAATAGTGATTGTGAGCGCTTGGGGCAGGTTGCGTGGTCATGTGACCACTGTCGACCAATCAGGTTGCGAGTTGGCGCGGGGTTGGTGTGTGGCGGCTGCGGCGGTGAGGAGACATTGTAAGATCTGCGTCACCGCCGTGTATCTGTTACAATCATGGAAGGCCGTAGTCATCCTGCCCACCACGGCTACCATCACACGCCGACGCCCGTCAATAGAGGGTATTAGAACATTTTTGTTCCTCTACATTGAAAAGTAACTCCACACGCCGGTCAATAATATGAGCGTGGGTACACAGCGTCAAAGGTTGAGTCAGCCATAACTCTCTGGAAGCATAAGGAAAATACTTTTAAGCTTAAGGTTTTCTTATATATACCATCAAATTTCTCGCTTGAAAATGACTGTAAAACCTTCTAGAGTTGGCAAAGATTATCTAGAGGTACGGTTAAGGTGTAGTGAGTGTGGTGGGAGCGCTCTAGAGGCGTCCTCCTAGTGCGCGGGTCCCGGCGCCTCTGAGCTTCTCTACCCGCCATTTTGAAACCAAAGCCGTTATGGCTGACGCCAGAGCCACTGTCGTTGAAGTTTTGTGGTGATTGCCTTCGTTGCAATGTGAGTGCTAAATGTTCTCGTGTGCCAGTTTGTGCCAGAAAGATTAGAGACCGTGTTGATATACAAAGTGCCAATGGAAGCAATCTGAGTGGCGAGAAAACACTGTGTGTGAAGTAAGGGACGCTACGTGCGCCGTCCCAAGACCTACTCTGGGTTTGTTGTGAGTCCGTTTGAGTTTTACCTAGGCTTCTTTGTGTTTATTATTATAATTCCAGAAGCAGATTTTCATTGTATAATGGAACACTAATTGCCTAAGAGTTGAAATCTTATAGGCAGTGTGTAGAAGAAAAAACGACAGTTGATGCTGACCCAGGTGACTGCATGCATATTTTACAAAGGCCGTTAGCATTGTTATGTAATTATAAGTAAACATAACGTTATTGGAGCAACGTTATGGAGCTCCCATGGCGTACAGGAAAGTTCAGTGATACATCACAGTGTTGTTGAAGACTTGTTTATCAATACCACTCAAAAGTTTGGTTTTGGATTATGCAATTCTGGTTGGACTAGATCAGTTGTCAAGGAGACCATGCTTGAAAATCGTTTCAAGTCATTCAGGTATACTTACTTTTTTTACTTATAAACATTGTGACTAAAGTTAAAGCATCATCTCACAGTAGAGCATCACCTGTGTTGCAAGCAGAACCATTGTCATTAAGTGACCCCCAGTACCTATGTGTATGATGCTCTTACATGATTACCAGTGCTGTGTTTTAACCCCTCCAGTCGATTGATTGTGTCGTTCACTTTTATGAAAGCCTTTTGAAGGCAAATCGCGGCTTGTGTCATTGCAGGTTCTTGGTTTATGTAGAAATTGTTATCGCAGGTTCTTGCTTGATGTGTAAATTGATATTGCGAGCTTGCTTGATGTAGAAATAGATAATTCTAAAAGTTACTGGGTTGCTTTTACACATTTTTATCTTTCATGTGATGAATTATCCAAGCAGACCTTAATGGTACCGACTTGGTCTTCTCTCTGTGTATTAGGTCAGTGGTTCACTGCTGTCTGAAGTCACTTATAGTTCTTTACAGTAGTAGTTCTTTTGTCACTGCTGAAGGTATGGAGATCATGGCACACTTACTATGTTCTCAGGAAATCAGAATTGCATTTTATAGTTCCCTTTCTCATTTGGATTTTATGCATTACACAATTTGTTGAAATTCCAAAGAAAGCTATATAACCATTTTAAATATAGTAATTGTAAATATATACCCATTTACTGTAGCTTTATTGGTCATACAGTACTCTACATTGGGGGTTCTACTAAACAAATGTTTCTTTGATATAGTACTGTATGTTTAAAAGACCATGTGTCAATGACTGCGGTAAATATTCGTTTAATGGACGTGGCAAGAATTTCGTATTTGTTTATTTTAGGTTTATTAAAGTTAGGCTTGGTTAGGTTAGGTTTCAACAGGAAGTTGAAAATGTTGTTAGAATAGTTATTTTTTTTTGTATTTAAGCATATAAAGGAGCCACAGCCATTAAACGAATATTTACCTTGAATGCGGTTGTAGTTAATGGCTCTATTAACAGGATTATAAAGAGAGTGACTGAATAGATGTAGGAAATGGCAGTATACAAAGGCCTCTGTGCCTTCAGTACTTTGAAGAATTTTCAAGACCAATTTAGGTTATAGTTTTGATGACCGTATACTAGATGGGATGAACATTAATGCCACACCTGAGTGTACGTATAGTGCCTAGTGATTCATTCTTAAAAATAAGCAGTTCATTGATGGATTTGGTAATGTTGAACAGAATCTTAAAAACACTGTACAGAAATGATATATACTGTATTAGTGGTGCTCCAGTTATAAGTTGGCCTGTTACTACTGTTAATTTCTTAATTTATTATGAAGTCGTGGATGCTTAATGCAAGCTCTTTCTGCTCGAAATCTTTTTTGGTTATACAGTACTGTATATCACACTTTTGGGGGGTGGTGGTCTTAATATTTAATTCGGCACGTACTGTATCTAATCAAAAGAAAATATTTTTTTGAAGTATTTACTATATTGGTTCCTATCATTAAAGCAGTGATTGTTTCAGTGCTTGTTTCACTTTTTCTTGTACAGTATTTCCCGTAACTTCTCAGAATTATTGAGACCCATGTGTTTATATTTTATTTTTTATTATTTAAATTTATTATGAGCTTTAAGAACTGAGTCCTTTTTAATTTGTTGCCATTTGAACATGGTATATATAGTTTGCTTTCCATATAATTAAAATACTGTACCCTGAACTATTAAATTGTTAAAGTTGATTTCAGTGCTATTTGGTTTATAGCTAGTGTTTAGTACTTTGAATTACATCCAGTTAATGAAGAATATCCCTTGAAAGTCAGTTATGAATCACATGCTTCTTATTTTTTTTTTAGTTTAGGTGGGCTTGATCAGCATTGTTTCGTTAGTCTAAATAGAGAGTATTGTATTATACATGAATTTTATTACTGTTGAAGCTTTTGTTAAAGCTTTGCATTGTGTTGAAGATTTGTGCGTCAAGGCGTGAAATTATGTATAGTTGGGGTGGGAATACTGAACTATTGGAGTAAATAAAAGGAAATTAAATGTAAAGGAAATATCAATATCCTATGAAGCCAAGAAATTCTTTTTATGGTTACACATTTCAGTCAGAAAAGTTTTAGTTACATTACTGTATTTACTCAGTCTTTGTGAAGTGATGAACTTGCAGATATATTTGTTACATAGTTGGGAGATAGCTATCTCAGCAAGAAAGTATTACAGGTAGTTCGTTGCTATAGGATAACCCAGCAACAGCCTTCTTGCCCCCTTGATTTGATTATACTGTATCACTAATTATGGGGAATTATTACTTTAAAACACATTGCATTTCATGGTGTTTGTTGTTAATTTTTCACTAAATAATGAAATAATTTTCATACTTTTTCATTGTGGCTAAAACATTGCCAACACAGACTGACGTTGCTGTTCTATGCAACATCTGTACACTCCACTTAGCTTTTTGCTCATGTTATTCATTAGAGAAATTCATGCTTGAAGTATTATAATCAAATTTTTCCACATTGCATCTCACATGGTTTCATTTTCCTTTAATTCATCTGTTTCTTTACTGTATTAAAGACAACCACCTGTCATGGCAATTATTGGTAAAGGTTTTTCATTGCATTCGTAATGTACACATTGGAGCACATATATGGTACTGTACTCTAATATATTCAGTGGAATGATAGAATTTGAACACTTTTTATCTCCTGTAAGAAATTTGTTCTGCAAAAGTATTAATTAAATCTTAAATATATAAATATCTAGCAAACTTTGTTTATATTGGCTTTACAACACTGTTTTTCAGTGTGTTTATTGTTTTGTTAAATTGATTTGGGATATGAAGCAAGTCCTTCATCACCATTTTCAATTTTGTCCATGTTGACTACTAAACAGCATCTACTGTACAGTACATGTTACATTATATGGTTTATCATCTGCTGCATTATTTATTTATTATCCATAATTTTTAGATGAACATTTTATGTATTAAATAAGATCATGTTTCTTTTATCTAGGTTATTCCTAAAAAAAAAATCCCACACTCCCTATTCCTCTTACTCATCCCTCTCCTCCCTAAGAACTTCTCAAAGTTTTAGAACACAGGTGAACCCCTGCAATAGGAATACATCCTGCTGTCATGGTTCCTTCTTAATTTTTATATCACAATGCAGAATAAAATTTGTTGTTCACCAATAGATGTGCAAAAAGTAGAAAGAATAGAAAAATAGGAATAGCTAACAATTTGTGCTTCCAATGATGTTATTTTTATACAGAAAAAAAATGTTGCTATTGCTGACTATACAGTATGTGTGCTGCACTTGATTGACTTTCCAGCTGCACAACTTAGAGGGAACATTTAGTACAGTAGCAATGTGTCCCACAATAATGATATCCCCCAATGAGAATAGCGTTGCACAGCTTTGTAATTAAGTTTTCTGATTCACGTATCTTCAATGATCTATCATTATATAAAAAAATACTGTACTGTAGTTGCATCTTCATTTTTATATTTTGCAAGAATGCGTGACTGGCTGGTCAGTGATGAATGTTGGTGTCCACCCACTCCATGTTTACTTTGAATTTGTGGTAGTCTCCTCTACATTGTCACAGTATATGTACAGTAAGTCCTCGCTTAATGTCGTGGTTCCATTCCTGAAAACCGCGACGTTAACAGAAACAATGTTAACGGAATAAATTTTCCCCATACGAAATAGATAAAATACGGGAGTTACGTTCCCCAGCCTCCCTTTGCCCCATAAAGTACATTACATATACAGAAATTCAATGTCAATTATATAAAAAAATAGTATATATATATAAATAAACTAAATCATTTTGCATTGTACTCACTGATGGATGGTGGTGTTTGGTGGGTAGTGGAGCGGAGGAGGAGGGCGTCAATGTTATACTGAATCGGCGGGACGTTATCCGAATCATGGGTATCTAAAGAAGAGCGACGTTATAATGAAACGTTAAGCAAGGCCTTACTGCACAGTATAGAATATTATATATATACACGCAATTGATCGAACATTTCATTATATTTGAAATTTGTCTTTTTTGTCGGCTTATTGCATGTGCAAGT